TAGAAATTTCAATGGTTTTCGGTATTTTTTATTTTATTTGGTAAATGTGTACCGTTGAGTGTGTTTGTTAATGTTCTAAATATGTAGTTATAGGGATCTATATGAAATTCATTTTTAATGTGTTCCTTTTATTTGTTTTTTTCCTAATTTTTGTTTTGTGTATTGCTATTTTATTCGGCATTCATTAAAACTTGTTAATGTTATGTCGTCACTTTGATTTTGTTTTTCATTTCAGAGTCAAAACACTCTCCAAATATGTCATAATTTGTATAAATGGATTTTTTTGTTTCTCAAAAACTTGTGATATATTTATCAGAGTTGAATAAGTATTATATACTAGAGGATTTGTGGTTTGATTTCTATAAACTTAATTAAAACAAGGGAAAACAGTTTGATACCCTTCACCATAGCTATACTGACAGATACTTCAAATGAAACCATTAAGGAAAGTAGTAAAGTCGGGCTGGGCCGACTATATGATACCCTTCACCACTTTGGGTATATTCTACATATATATCCTAACAGACGTCGCGTGTTTGTTATATATCTATATCTAAACCGATTTCACGGAAACTTGCCAGGGATTTATTTGTATTACTTCGGTACGTTATGTCAATGGATCTTTTCACGAAGCTTAGCAACATAATTCTAGACTTAATTCAGTATCCCATACCAAATTTCGTGCAAATCGAAAGATATGTAGGGACTTTTGTACACAACTAATCTTAAATCGGACGAAGATATACATGGGAACTATATCTAAATCTGAACCGATTTTCACGAAACTTTGCACACATCATTTTAGACTTAATTCAGTACGCTGTGCCAAATATCGTGCAAATCGAAAGATATATAGGGACTTTGGTACACCAGTTACCTTAAATCGGACGAAAATATATATGGGAGCTATATCTTAATCTGAACCGATTTTTCCCAATTTCAATAGGGTTCGTCTTTGGGCCAAACACATGAGCTGTGCCAAATTTCATCCAAATCGGATTATAAATGCGACCTGTACTTTGTTTACAATTTAACTCCAACAGACGGACAGACGGACAAACGGACATGCGTAAATCGACTCAGAAAGTGATTTTATGCATATTCTCAAAAGGAACCATGGGTCTATCTCGATTCCTTTTGCCTGTTACAAACATATGCACAAAGACATAATACCCTGTACCACAGTGTGGTGAAGGGTATAAATATATGGAACATACCAAAAAGTGAACCTATACCGATAATTCTACAAACAGATTTATGTAAACCATTATGTACACCAAATACAAATTTCAGCAATTTGTCTAAAATCTGAAAACCGCAAAGCATGGTAGAATATACAATCCTCAAATTACTGCAATTTAGATTACATAGTATAGGAATTAGCGAATATTTGGGGTTATAATTATGTGAGGGCTATGTCTAACTAATGATTGACATATGTCAATTTCGAACCCAATATTTTTTGTGTGTCTCAATTCTTTCTTTCAGGAAGTATAAATATATGGGGGAGATGCCTAAATGCTGTCCCATATATTTCATTATTGTCAGGTTCGAGTTTTTTATCACAATTTCCTTTGAAAGCGGAATGATCACAACCGATGGCTAAATCGTCTTAGAATTCCATAATTTGTAGGGTAAAATCTGACTATTACGAGTAACAACTATCCCCTATAGAATGGTAGAATACGCCTATATGGAGACAACCCCTACACACGAAACTAATCAGCTAACTATTTATACCCTTCACCACACTGTGGTACAGGGTATTATGTCTTTGTGCATATTCGTGCGAATGGTGCATCAAAGTCCCTACATATCTTTCGATTTGAACGAAATATGGCATAACGTACTGAATTAAGTCTAGAATGATGTGTGCTGAGTTTCGTGAAAATTGGTTCAGATTTAGATATAGCAGCTCTCATATATATTTTCGTCCGATTTAAGGTAAATGGTGCAGCAAAGTTCCTATATATCTTTCGATTTGCACGAAATTTGGCACAACGTACTGAATTAATCCTAGAATGATGTGTGCTTAGTTTCGAAAATCAGTCCAGATTTAGATATAACTCCGATATATATAGTTTCGTCCGATTTAAGGTAAATGGTGCACCAAATTCCCCATATATGTTTCGATTTGCACGAGCAGACGTCGCCTTTTCGAAGGAACATTGACATGAAATTAAACGAACTTAAATATGTGATCTTTATCAATATCAATTCATACACATGCCATTCCGAAACCTTTGCTAAATTTTGTAAATCGATATAAATCGAACTTGACACACACTATTCGCTATACTGCACTGATTAAAATTTAATATCAATCAGACATCTATTGATGATTTCATGTACAATACACATTGTTGCTCCAGTAACATAAAAACAGACGAAAATATATATGGGAGCTATATCTAAATTTGAACCGATTTTCCCGAAACTTATCACACATCATTCTAGACTTAATTCAGTACGCCATGCAAATCGAAAGAAATATAGGGGCTTTGGTACTCCATTAACATAAAATCGGACGAAAATATAGATGGGACCCATATCTAAATCTGAACCGATTTTTAATAAACTTAACCCACGTCATTTCAGACTTAATTCAGTGCGCTATACAAGATTTTGTATAAATCGGACCAATATTGGCAGTTTAATGTATTAATTACACAAAATCGGACGAAACTATATATGGGAGCTACATCTAAATCTGAATCGATTCAAAAAAACTTTTCGGACATCAAACTGCACCTAATTCAGTACGCTGTGCAAAATTTTGTCTGAATCGGACAATTATTGGGAGTTTGGTGCACTATTTACATAAATTCGGACGAAAGTTGTGTCCGATAGTGACAAAATTTTGCACAGCGTATTATAATTGGAACAGGTTGACGCACGTGAAGTTTTGTTGAAATCGGTTCAGATATATATTTAGATATATTTTCGTCGACTTTATATTTACATAAAGTTAAATTCCGCCTGAACACAATTGTCATACCCATTACCATGAGGGGGTATTTATTTTGCCTAAATTCGGTGGTGAGTTACAAAAAAGGGTTCTAAGCCATAACATGTATCTGGGAGGATTATAATCCTATGAAATAATAACTACCGAATTGCGGACATAAAAAATTACAAGTTTGACAATTTGGGATATTTTAGCATACCATCAATGTAACAACTCAAGTCAAAAACAAAAACCAGTGAGCGGGGCAGTATAGTCGGACATGGCCGACCATATGATACCCTACACAAATTCTAACTTTCTGTGGTTCGCGATATGTGCACCTTCTTGACCCACCAGAGGTCAACAAATACTACTAATATACAGTACAGCCCTTCTAATTACATGTCCAGAATCCCTTTACCGTGGGTTGTGTTGTGATGTTCGGCTTTCAATTGTGACCTATAGATCGACTCGAAAAGCACAAAAAAAAAAATAAGTTTAACCTAACTTCATGCCAATATTATTATCTGATCATCATAGAAAATTATAGGCGTTGTTCTTGACCATACCTGGATACTCATAGAAATTTTCAAACGATCAGCTTTATATTTCCGCCCTCTAGTGTGGTAATGGGTTACTAAATAATATCTGAATACGTAAGCACCTGTTAATATTTAAGGGTATCTCCCACATCCGAGTACATACTACAATTTAATTGGTATCAATTTAAAGGTCAACTACTCCTCTTTGAAATACTATCAACTTCGCTATAGAATACAAATTTTGTGATTTTTCACACAAAAGTTAGGGTCCATTTGACCCGCTAAATATTGACCGATCTTTATCAAAATAGGCATGCTTATTCGTTGTCGATGTAAAAAATTCGCAAGGTTTGCGCCCTCCATTTCATGCCCTAAATATTAACCGATCTTTGCCAAAAACAATAGGGGTCTTTATTGGCCAGAACCCATCCTATCCATCTGGATCGACTCAGCTAGTCCAGATATGACGATCGGTATACTTAAATGTGGGTCTAGGACCAATATTTCGCAGCGTTACAAACTCTTGGGGCTGCACAAAGCTATAATACCCTGACAACATAGTTATTATAGAAAGGTTAACGGTATAGAAAGGTTAACGGAACGTTTTTTTTAACATAATTGGTTCTAATTCAGTATTGCGGATTCTGATTCAGCAGAAAATCTTCCTACCAAAAATAATCAAAATTGACAAAAGTTTCCAGGTAGGTCCTATATAATGGTATCGACATTTTTCGGTATTTAAGAGGGTCTGGGCATGTTTTTCATCTGAATTGGGTATTCAATGTAACGTTACAGACCAAACATTCGGTATTCTGAAAGCTTTTCCCAGATTTTCCTACCGATGTGGCTGTAAGTTGGCATTTCGGGATATTGAGTGTCTGTAATTTGGAATATTATTTTTTTAGAGCATGAACAACCTACTACAATAATATAGTCCCCATATAAGGTTCCCGACTGATTTAAGAAATTGTTAATTTTTTGCAGGTAGCAGAGGGTATAAAAACTCCGAACCTCTTAACCTAATGATGTTTTAGTTATTACAGAAAGATGTGCCACACACAGGACATGCAAAATATAAATTCGGTTGAAAAACATGTCTTCGAACTTGAACTACGATTGGTAGAAATATTACATTACGATGTGCAAAGTTTGGATGAAATCGTTCACTGCCTTCGAGAGTTATCGTGCACACCAGCCGCCCAGACTGACAGACAGATGGACGGACATTTGTAAATCGACTCCAAATTGTCTGGAACGGATCAATAGATATATTGGATCCAGTATTTTGATGAGGTATCCAGTATTTCATTAGCCATAATGCTGAGGGTATACAAATACCCATGTCGAATTTGTCCTTTGTGTTTCATTTTGTACTCTCCAAAGACTTGGATGCTCACAAAAAATTATTCGCCTCTTCAAAATATTGTCGTAAAATACCAAATATTTTTTATAGTTCAATTAACATATATAACATCCATAATACATATTTTTTATTTCATTTTTGCACTTACCCTTTTTCAAATGTTTGCCCAGCAATGATTTCTCACGATCCGCCGATGTGGTGGTGCTGGTGGTAATGCCTAAAATTTGATTTTGCTTGACGGCAGGTGGTGGTGACAGGGAATCTCTAGACTTTTTGGCTACACACAAATTCAATGGCTGGTCGAGGCATACATCTTCCGAGGGGGCTATAACAGCTGCAGGCGTTAACAGATTATTAGCACTTGTAACGCTAGGAAGAGCAACGCCTGTACTACCCACACCCGGACCACCCGCAACACCACCACTACTAATCATATCATCTTCACTTGTGTCGCTGGCCGAAGCACTTCGTGGCTGATGCTGTTCGAATTGAGTGATCTGTTGCGAATATTGTTGTTGGAAGTTGCGTAAAATACTTTTGGGTGATTTGGCGGGGGCTGGTGGCAGCGTTGTGGTCGAAGAATTTGACGATTCATCGTGGGGATCGCGCGATATTAAGGTGTTGGTGCTGTGGGGTATTGTGGTGGTGGTGTTGACGTTGCTGATCGCTGTTGTTGTCGTCTTTGACATATTGCAGGTGTTGTTGTTGCCGCTGCCAATTGAATGTATGGCCGCATTCAGATCACGCAAACCCAAAATATCGGCAATGGTGTGTGGGGTGGGACGTGTTGGTGGGCGGGCATAAACATGAGGATGCCATGTGGCGGGCGCTGACATATTTGCCGATGTCAAGTGGGCCTCCGCCGAAACGGTGGGCGATTGGATTTGTCTCGCGTGTGGCGTTTTGGCTTGTACACCAATGGGTGGTGGTGAAGACATTAGCGTCTTAATGGCAGGTGTAACGCCCACTGAGGTGCCGGCGGCAACACCCCCACCACCAATGGCTAATGTCGGAGAACTGGCATAGCCGTTTGTATAGCTGGACTGTTTTGGTGGTGCCTCTAAAGATTTTTGTAGAAATGTTGTTTCGTTTGCTTGTTTCTCTTTAATGGCGATGTTGTTGTTGTTGGCTGTGATATCTGCCGCACCATTGGCACCTGTTGCTGTGGTGGGTGACGCGGCTGATGCTGCTGCCGAAATATGTTGACTAGTTAGAGCTGCTATTGAATGCAACTGATGCTGATGATGTGAATGAGAATGATGTTGTTGTTGTTGTTGCGGATGGTGATTGCCATGATAATTGTGATTATAGGCCTCAGCCACATTGTTGTTGTTGTTGCTGATATTTTCATACATAGCTGCTGTTTGTGGTGGCGTTGGCATGGGTGGTATGGTCAAAGGACTACGATAAACATATGAACTTGTGGCCATTTTGTATTGGGCCTGTTCCAATTGATGCTGTTGCTGTTGCTCTGCTGCAAGTTTATAATCAGCTGCTGCCGTGGCGGAATTATAATTAATTTGTGAATATAAATGCTGATGTTGTTGTTGCTGGGAATGGAGATGATGTGGATGTTGTTGTTGCTGCTGCTGAAGCTGTTGTTGTTGTTGCTGGTGTATACTGTAATATTTTTGGGCCACGGTTGTTTCAAAAACGGGCGCATGTGCTGCACCACTGACCATGTCTGTTGTTGCTGCCGCCACGTCGCATTCAATTTCGGGCATCATTTATAAACATTTGGGTGAACTGTTTTTTATTTATTCAATATTTGGTTGATGTTGTGGTTGTATTTTTTAACATTTGATTAGCTGAAATGCAAAAAAAAAAAATAATAATGAAAAAAATAATTATATATTTTTTATATATAAACAAGTAAGGAAAGTCGTATAGACGGACTGGGCCGAATATATAATACCCTTCACCACTTTGGGTATATTGTACATATGTATCCTTACAATTGAATGGCAATGTTTCCTCGAAGGAACATAATCATGCCTTTCTGCCTTTTTGGGCAGATTTAGAGTCGTCTCCGTACCATGGGACAAATTTATGGAAAACGATTTATAGCAAAATTGAAACACGTATTCGGTACATCGTTTTTCAAAATGTTAATCTCAATCAGACACCCGTTCGAAATACATATGGAAGCTATGGCTAAATCTGTACCAATCTGAAATCTCGAAATCGAAATCTGAATCGATTTTCCCGAAACATACCACATAGTATTCTAGACTCAATTCAGTACGATATGCCAAATTTCGTGCAAGTCGAAGGATATATACAGACTTTTGTGCACCCTTTACATAAAATCGGACGAAAATATATATGGGAGCTATATCTAAATCTGAACCGATTTTCACGAAACTTAGTACACATCATTCTAGGCTTAATTCAGTACATTGTGCCAAATTTCCTGCAAATCGAAAGATATATAGGGAATTTCGTGCACCATTTACCTTAAATCCGACGAAAATATATATGGGAGCTATATCTAATTCTTAACCGATTTTCACGAAACTTAGCACACACTATTCTAGACTTAATTCAGTACGTTGTGCCAAATTTGGTGCAGATCGAAAGATATATAGAGACTTTGGTGCACCATTTACCTTAAATCCGACGAACATATATATGAGAGCTATAACTAATTCTGAATCGATTTCCCCGAAACTTATCATACATCATTCTAGACTTAATTCAGTACGTTGTGCCAAATTTCGTGCAAATCGAAAGATATATACGCACTTTGGTGCACCATTTACCTTAAATCCGACGAATATATATATGGGAGCTATATCTAAATCTGAACCGATTTTCACGAAATTTAGCACACATCATTCTAGACTTAATTCACTACGTTGTGCCAAATTTCGTGCAAATCGAAAGATATAAAGGGAATTCTGTGCACCATTTACCTTAAACCCGTCGAAAACATATATGGGAGCTATATCTAATTCTTAACCGATTTTCACGAAACTTTGCACACACTATTCTAGACTTAATTCAGTACGTTGTGCCAAATTTGGTGCAGATCGAAAGATGTATAGAGACTTTGGTGCACCATTTACCTTAAATCCGACGAACATATATATGGGAGCTATAACTAATTCTGAATCGATTTCCCCGAAACTTATCATATATCATTCTAGACTTAATTCAGTACGTTGTGCCACATTTCGTGCAAATCGAAAGATATATATGGACTTTGGAGCAAAATTTATCTTAAATCGGACGAAAATATATATGGGAGCTATATCTAAATCTGAACCGATTTTCACGAAACTTGGCACACATCATTCCAGGCTTAATTCAGTACGCTGTGCCAAATTTCGTGCAAATCGAAAGATATATAGGGATTTTTTTGCACCATTTGCTTAAATCGGACGAAACTATATATGGGAGCTATATCTAAATCTGAACCGATTTTCTCCAATTTCAATAGGGTTCGTCCTTGGGCCAAATAAGTGAACTGTGCCAAATTTCATCCAAATCGGATGATAAATGCGACCTGTACTTTGTTAACAAAAAGTGAACTGTGCCAAGTTTCATCCAAATCGCATCATAAATGCGACCTGTACTTTGTTAACAAAAATACATGGACGGAAAGACGGACGGACATGTGTAAATCGACTCAGAAAGTGCATATTCTCAAAAGTTACCATGGGTCTATCTCGATTCCTTTTACCCGTTACAAACATATGCACAAAGATATAATATCCTGTACCACAGTGTGGTGATGGGTACAAAAAATTTTAGTTCCCAAAGGCCTGGATAGTTTTTGTAATTCCCACAAGGTGTGGATTTTCATACCCTACACAACTATGTTGCCAGGGTATTATAGCTTTGTGCAGCCCCAAAAACTTTGAAGTATACCGATCGTCATATCTCGACTAGCTGATTCGATCTAGACATGTGTTCTGGCCAATGAAGACCCCTATCGTGTTTTGTAAAGATCGGTAATTATTCAGGGAATGAAATAGACCAAAAACTTAATTTTTGTCAGCTTTTCTGGTCGCTCCAGAGGCCTCAATTATGACACAAATCTCATGATTTCTTACATGAAGAAGAGGATCGGGCCAAAGAATAAGCATGCATGTTTTGATAAAGATTGGTCAATATTTAGCGGGTCAAATGGACCCTGACTTTTGTGGCAAAATTTGTTTTCTATGGCGTATATATTTACCCCTGAAAGACAGTTTATCCAAGAGAAGTGTTTGACCTTTAAATTGATACCAATTATATTGTTGTATGTACTCGGATGTGGAAGATACAGTCAAATATTTACAGGTACTTATGTATTCAGATATTATTTAGTAACCCATTTTCACACCAGAGGGCGAAATTGTAGCGCTGAACGCTTTGAAATATTCCATGCGGTACCAGTTATGGTCAAGGACAACGCCTATAATTTTCGATGACAATCAGATAATAATATTGGGATGGAGTGGACCGAAAACTTAACTTTTTTCGAGTCGATCTATAGGCCATAATTGAAATCCGAACATCACAACCCAACCTACGTTGAAGGGAATCTGGACGAGTAATTAGAAGAGCTGTACTGAATATTAGTAATATTTGTTGACCTCTAATTGGTGAAGAGGGTGCAAATATCGCGAAATATTGCCCAAACTCAGAATATAGGACCACAAAATGTTAGATTTTCGTGGAAATTGTGTACGGTATCATATGGTCGGCCCCGTCGGACTATAATGCTCCCCTCACTGGTTTAAAAAATATTTTTTGTAATTCCCACAAGGCAAGCATTTAAAAAAAAATATATTTTTGAACAAAACATAAGGTTGAGAATTAAAATTAATAATTTTCATATTCTATTATAAATATTAATATGAATTAGAACATTAAAACATTGTAACATGTTAATTTGAATTGTATTTAGCGTTCACATCTATCCAAATCGAGATAAGAGCGAAATTTTATTTTCCATTTGACTTAATTTCAATACAAACTTTTTTCCATGAACATTTCCAATACAATTTAACTACTATTGCAATTTATATTTAATACTCGGCACTGGAAAAATGAAATGCGGGGAATTCGACAAGCACACAAATATACATACACACAATTCCTCACCACACACACACATAACATACAAATAGTTTTGTGTACAACGAAAGTTCATTACGTTATCCTATATATATTTAAAACCTTTCATTTCAATTCAATTAAGGCAATTAATTAAATGTACATTGAGTGCAGTGAAAACACATAGACACACACACACACACTCACACTGTCGCACTGGCATACTATTTATATACATACTTCAAAACATCTACAGTCGACATATAGACATTTTCTCATTGCTATTAATTCATTTGAAAATGGTTAAATTTCCAGCACTGTTTAATAAGGTGACCCGAGGAAAATGGTTGGGAGGGGTTATTTTCTGAGGAAAGAAAATAGAAAACATGAAAATAGCAGATAGTAAAAACTAGTCCATTTATTACCATGGTTTCACTTCTACCGAGAAGAAGGAGGGAGAAAGGCAGGAGAAACGAATTACTGTAGAGAGCCAGCATATGGATTCATGATTCATCTGTATGTATGTAGTTATGGTTCTATGCCAATTGTAGTTCTGTTAGTGTAGGTATGTCCTTCTTCTCTGGTTGGAAACCATGTTCGAAATGTTTTACTCGTTTTTCATTGGTCTTCTTCTTTCCCCCCACCATAATTCTGCCCTTCGTCATCTAGTTTGCAGAATGTTGGGTACACTAGTGAATTAAATATGCCATAATAATTTGACTCTATTGCACTTAAAGTGAGGGCAGAAGCATCTAACCAAGTAAGCAGAGGTTGCCTCTGCAATGGAGGGATGTTCGGAAATTCATAATTCATATTTGTGATTTTCATGGGTTCTATATATTATTTTTAAATTTATTTCTCATGAACTATAAGATGGGTGGATTTAAAAAAAAAATATTTTTCTTGAACTATAAGAGGCGTGGGGGTGGAGTTGGGGGTGATAGATACAAAGCAACGGCTCTGATTGGCTTTAACATGGCGAACTCCAGGCTTATCATGGTCCCTCTTTCATCTCAATTGTGGACACTGACCTCCCTGCGATGCCACGTGGGGTAGCTACTATAAAAAAATGCGTTGAAACGTCGGGTTAGTTGCCCACTTTCGGAAAACCCAACCTACTATGAAAAAGCAAAGAATAATAAAACCAAACCCCCAAACGTTGGCGACCCCCGCAAACGTATAAAGGACCACGATCTGCGAATTTGCACATGTTGTACAGAACAGGCGCAGTTTTCGCTTTGGCGGATGTACTGAAGAAGTACCAAGCCGATATTATTGCCTTACAGGAAATGCGATGGAAAGGGACAGGCGTAAGTAAATCAGACGATTACGCTCTGAAGTTTGCTGCGGACTTATGGTTAACAGGAGAATAAAAGACCTCGTCGCCAGATTCACTCCAGTAGATGAGCGAATTGCTATAATCCGTATAAAAGCGAAGTTATTCTACATCAGTCTCATTTGCGCCCATGCTCCGACCGAAGATAAAGGTGAAAAGACCAGAGACATATTTTACGAGCGCCTAGAAACAGCATATGACCGTTGCCCTGGCCATGACATTAACATTCTGCTAGGAGATTTTAATGCAAAATTTGGTAGGGAAAATATCTTAAGCCCCATCGTCGGAAAATTCAGCCTTTGTGAAGAAACATCAGACAACGGCACGAGGTTGATTGACTTCGCGGCAGCAAAAAAAAAAAAAAAAAACATGGCA